AAATATTTATAAAATATCTAATTTAAGAATGTTTAATTTTGTTCACCTGCTACACATAAACATGTAGGTGTATAAACATATAGAAGTAATCAAGTGTATAGAAGTGACATAAAATTTTGGACTGTGAAAAAAAATAAAATTAGGGTTTTGAAAATAATTAACATATCAAATAATGTCACTTACATGTGATGGATACATTTTTTATAGAATAGGGTAACAAACGAGCACACGGTCGACCTGATGATAAGTGAATGCTGTGGCTCATAGACATCTACATTAATTTTCAATTAAGGATCAAAATGCAGATCCGTTGTTACCCCATAGGACTAAGATGGAATATCTCGTTTCTAGTTAAAAGGGTCTCCGGTTCTCTACACTCACCACACGAAACACAACAGTATTATGCTGCTATTTTATGCTGGTATTCTGTGAGAGCGTGGTCCTTCCCAGATCGAGCCGACCCATTTGTGTTACAACGATCATATAGTTGAAGCGTGACTCTACCACGTTTAAAACTTGTATTCCTTTTTCGTACTTACGTTTATGTTTGGAATACTACGGATACCACGTTAACGTTTTGTGTCGTCTCGGACAATTTAGAAAAAAAAAACAATAAAAATTGGGTTAACGTTTGCTCATTTTAACGCGGGCGATTGTGATCATTGTTTTTTTTTTATGTCACTCACGTAAATTATATAACTCTTCGAATACCGCTTCTAATCTGACTAACTTCACTACATTTAATACGTAAACGTTTTTTAAAAACATGTCTTTATATGGAATGCTAGAGTGATCGTCGGGGTTCATCATCGGATTAGGTCCATGGTACCACACGTACATATTATTGCAAGTTGGATGAGTATACCAAATTATAAGTCAATCGAATATCAGCATTTATTCCTTCATACTCATAAGTCCACAGCTGAATTGTTTTTTTACTCAACTGATTTCATGAAAATGCTGCTACGTATTACCTGTTCCTCTTCGTTGCCTCTTACACCACGGGATGATATGGGGTTGTGGATATTCTTACACAGTCTCTATGTGCTTTACTTTACTAATTTAAGTTTACTACTTTTATTATAGAGTAGCCATGGTAGCTCAGATGGTTAACGCTCGCTGTAAATATAACAGAACGCGAGTAACCCGGGTTCGATCCCCGCCGGCACCAATGAAATTGTTAATTGCAATTTTAAGTGCTGATTTACCACGGCGGTGAAAGAAATCATCGTGAGGAAACCTGCATATCTGAGGAATAAGGAAAAAATATTTCGAATACATGTGAAGTTCGCCAACACGCATTGGGGCAGTGTGGCGAACACTTCCTTGCCCTAAAACCCTCTCAGAAATGAGGGGAGGCCTGTGCCCAGCTGTGGGACGTCTATAAAAGCTGTAACTTTACTTTACTTTTTTACTTTTATATTAATACTACTTTCATATATACTGGATGATTTTCTTATCGCCTGGAGTAGTATTTATTGATAAATTAATTTCATAACATGTTAATATAAAAGAAAAAAAAATTTAAAATATCAGTGCCATAAGCTGCTATTACGTTCACCTGTTTGTTACTCCCTATTTTTTTTCCGGCGGTAAAAAATCTTCCAGTAGATGACATTTGATTACTATTTACGAAAGATATTTGAAAAATATTGGCTTTTTGATCACTTTTTCGAATATTTTCTTATTCGACTTTTAAAAACCTATCATTAAAAATTTACTTTGAATAAACAGAAAAAACAGGCTTTAAAAAACTAAAAATAATCAAATGGTTTTTAGTTTTTTCTTTACATTCTGAAATCGATGATAAGACATAGAATATAGAATACTTATAGATTAAATTTACCCCAAAATACAGAATTAGAAATTGAACGTGAATTTTATTATTTTTAAGTTTTTGAAGTCGGCTTTTACTTTTTACTTAAAGTATTTTTTTATCTTTTGAGTTGACTAAGTAATATCACAATCTCTATGTCGACTGAATAGTTACGTTAAAAACTTCATACCCTATTTTGCCATCGTTAGGGGTAGATTTTATTCTACAAATTTATATGGGACAGCCCTGAAGTATAAACGATTTCATTTAAAAAATCAAAATATGTATGAAAAACATAAAAAATTTCATCGAAATCGGTTAGATGGTTTCAAAGTCTAGAACGGACAAAGGTAGAAACATTTTTGTTTTTTATACTGGATGACCTTTTTACCGTCTGGAAAATAATAAGGTGCAACATGTGAACGGAGTAGAAGCCTATGGCATTGATATTTTACAAAAAAGTAAAAACAATACTTTTCAATTAAACGTTTGAATTTTTTTTAAACAATTACTTTGCCCTTTGCCCTTGCGAAGTGACAAGGTCAAAGATGCCTACTAAAGTTATTGTTTTATTGCCGTTCGTAAAGTAGGTTTGAATTGCGATAGATTTTAATTCATAATTTTTGTTTTTATTTTTTTGTAAAATATCAGTGCCATAAGCTTCTCTTTCGTTACACTCTGTTTTTTTCCAGACGGTAATAAAGGTCACCCAGTATGGATAGATTTAACATGTAATTCAAAAATTAAAAATGTATCTTACATCCTTACATTGGGATTAGAATAGATATGAAATCTAAAGATTATTAATGAGTAAAATTACATCTCTTTTAATAGACGCAGACCGAAGTGCGTTATTTCCACACGCAAAAGGAAACAAAGGCGTGAAGATATGTATGTACGTATGATTAAATATCTTTACGTAAATAAATATAATATATTAAATATATATTATATTTCTAGAATAGAGTAGAATATTATGCTTTATTGCACACAGCCGAAAGAAAAAAATTAAGGCTGATAACACAATAGCCTATCTGTATTAGCGTCGATTTTTTAATGCAATGGTGTCGTTAGAAAAGAAAATTACGAGAAAATAAGTAGTTACAATATAATAGTACGATACAATATGTATTTAAATGAGCTTTCATGGAAAAAGTTTATTAAATATTCATTTGCATTATATACATAAAATAAAAATGAAGAAAAAGAAACAGATAACTATTTTAATAGAGCTAGCAAACTTAATTTGTGTGAATTGAAAACACCTTAACCTTAGATCTTCACCGACATAAGGCGTAAGGCATTGTAGAAATTCGCATCGCATTATTTGAAATTTTCCGATAAACTTGTTAAATTCAGAACATGTGTTGTGTAAGAGAGATAGAAATTGTAGCGAAACTTTAGTATATGAGCATGACAGATGTAATCGTATGTCTACTAGGTGCAAATGAGCATGTTATATTTATTTTTCTATAAAATGTTACACTTACTGTTTTTTGATATAATTCCCTACGGTCGATTCCTCGAATATTGTTATATTCTGCGGATTAACCACCTCACTTTAATTCCGGCCCACTGTGGCAAAAGCTTCGGGCGGATCCCGTCGTATATTCGTGCATCCATTTCCACCAGTATGTTTAGCGGCGGAAAACGCTCAAAGACTGTCACCGTTCGTATGTCATACGATATCTTCGTTTGAATAACATAACCATTCTCCGCTGGATGCTGTAGATTTTCATTTTATAGCGTCAGATGTCCGGGTCCATACGGGCACTCCAAATAGAAATACGAATTGTACTTCTCCCGCAAAAAGACAGTGTACTTCCTCCCTCAGTCTCAGTAATGTAGAGGACTGTGGGCAGCAGCATGATGCTACCCTTGCAATCCGAGGGACTACGTGTAAAGTGTTCTATCTAGAATGAGATACTTCACGTACCGTCCCCACGCACTAGAACGCACAATATCCTGTTTAATGCAGTTTGTGGAATCATAGCGCTTCGGTTGTGTAAATCGCTGTTATCAATCTTTATAGCAGATAATATTTACAACAGCAGTGAAATCGGCACTTAGAAACGTGTTATAGAAAAAAATTCCATAGTAGCAGGTCCTACACTGAGCTCTACAGAATTCCACGTTGGATCTTTCTCCAGATCGTTTTTACTATCTTATCCCATGTTCATAATGTGTCATGTTTCATGTTAGTCTTTAAAGTTAGTACGCGTCTTTGCTTAATGGACAGGTTTATCGGGAAAAGAAAACTCTCACATGATACCAACGTATCGACGGCCCCTACGTCCATAAAGACATGTCTAAAACCGAGGTTTACAATAGAGCGTAATTTATGTTCAAACTGCCCTAGAAATAATTATGTGTACAAACATAAATACTTTTTTTTTACAATGTTTTATTATCTTTAGGAACTTTATAATGGCATTTATACATATTTAATTTTTTTATATTTTCATAGAAAAACTGATAGATGACTGCTTCTACGTTGATATTAAAATGTAAGCATGTCAGACATGTCTATGATACCTTTATGTACGCAGGAAAGAATAAAACTGTGTCTAAAATATAATTTAAATAAAATGTTTTATAAAACCGTAGAATAATGTTTTTGTTTTCTAACGGATACATTAACCATCCTAAGATCGCCACCCATGAATTTAAAAAATGCATCAATGAAGACATATCGCTGTATACGCGGTTTCATTCATTCGAGGTAGGACTATATTTCTTAAAATGTAAACAAAGGCATGTCCTTAAATAAAATTATCAGGACTGTGTTTTATTAATTAACAAGGTTTATAATTGAAAATTATTTATTGTTAAATAACAATCTTTTTAGCATCTAAACAATAGGTACTTGTAGTTTCATTGCAGTAGGAATTAAACATTAAAAAACACAATTTTATTTTTGTAATTGATAATATTTAATATTCATCACATCCTTATTTAATTAAGAATGTACCTTAGCATAATTATCTATCTATCTAATTAGTACTATTAAATCAAAATCACAGCGTTATTTAAGTATGTGCCTCATATTCTATCTACATAATTGGTAATATTTAATAATCATCACAGCTTTATTCAGACTGATTCATATTATTACTATAAAATTTTTTTGGTAACTAGTTAAATAAAAAAATAAAATTTATATAAAAATTAAGTATAGATTATTTTAATCTTCTTCGTCATCACCCTGTTCTTCTTTACTATGCTTAAGATTCTTGTAGAAGTCATGATACTCGTATTTTTTTGGGATAATCATTGTATCGCATAAACTAACCAAGTCTTTATATTTCACTTCGGTGATAGAAATAGGATTATTGTACAACTTATCTAGTTTTGGTTCTTGTGCCTTCTTTTTCCTCCCTCTAGTCAATTTCAAATTCAGGCCACAGTTCAGTTTTCTATAATTTTCTTCAAAAAAATCGTATTTAAATTCAATAATGTCTGGATTATTCCATTGCACTTTTACTTCTCTTATCTTATTCCAAGAAATTTTCTCTGAATTTGTATCTTTTATCCAGTTTTTAGTATGTAGCCAAGCTTTGAAATTCACAAATAAGTCTTGATTTACGGCTGTATAAGCTGGGCTATTCTGTTTTGCCCAGCGAACCAGGGTGTACAGGTGTACTATCTGCCTCATTTTGAGTATGGCCTTTTTCCAAGAATCGATGGCACACGTCTACTTTGAATGTATTGCTTACACACAAGTACATAAAAAAACAATACGATTGCGATTCTGACCGGCACAGTTGTCTGACCAGAATCTAAAAACTTTGACGCCAGCTTTAACTTTGTTGTTAACGAAAGAAAACAAACAACTAGCCACTTCATTGGCGCCACGTTTAGCAACTGTAACAACTAGCTTCCCTTAACCCAGCATCAAACACTGTAAAATTATAAACTGATAATTTCCTTTTGTAATGTAGCACACTAATTTCACCATGTGGAGTGTTATTTATTTTTTGAAAATCGTACATCGCTGTGCAAATATCAGAAGGATTTGATTGAGATTCAATTTTATCAACATTTTTTAACTCCCTGGCAAGTTTTTTGTTATCAATGTGTGACTTATGCTTCAGTTTATCATCATTGGTTGGCGAGGTGTTGTTTTTCATTGCGTGACACAGGTCGCATTGGACCTTTTTAGGTATGTGAAAAGCTATGTTAAGTTCTTTGTTAACAATATCTTTGTATTGTCTTACAGAAGTAGCTACATTTTCACTTATATTCAGCTCTTTACACCATACAGTATACAGGTCATACATTTTTTAAAGTCAATTCTCTATCTAAATACTGTTTATTTGAGTCTATGCGCGTATAATGACTTTCTACGGGCGCAAAACATTTTACTTGTTGAATTACATTTTCTTTCATTGCCGCGTTTATAATAGTTGGATGATTTGAATGAAATCCCCTCATGTCTTTAGAACAAATACCCGTAATTTTGTCATGCTTGTCGATGGCAGATTGTATGAAAGTGTTACTTATAGAAAACGTATTTTTAAACATGGTTTTGCATACCATAACCTTCTCTTCGTGGCCACTACCAGACAAAAGCGGCAAAAAAAAACTTATAACATTTAACCTCTTGGAATCCTGTGTCCATTGTTTTTTTCTTATTTCTTTCACGTGCGACATCATAAAAGACCACTGCTGAGAATGATCACCTAGATCGCAAAAAGTTTTGAATATATTTTGGCGACATCAAATTTTTCAAAACATTTTAATCGACAGTTAGATGGACATGAAATCTTCATTTGTTTTGCCATTTGTAGTTTTCCGGATCGAGATGTAAGAGCTTCACCTAAATATCCTTTTTTCTAGCCAGTTAGATTTATTAGTAATTCTGTTCCTTGTTATTGCTTTTTTCACATACTGACGCTTTTTTTTTCGTTGGTGCGGTGTTGATGAACCAGACATTTCACTGGATCCTAACGGGCTTGATCTTAAGGTTGCATCAGATAGAAGAACAGTACTTTCGCTGTAAACGAATGTAACTAACGTTCGTTTACAGTGTCCCCAAAGGACATGCGTGGACTTGGCATTGGTGTTGAACCACAATTTTCAGGTATTGACTGTGGTGTTTCATTTTCACAAATGGGCGTGGTGAGATCGTAATTTTCAATTTCAACATTCGAAATTTCCCCTACCGTATCGATTATATAATTTAAATCACTTTGCGATAGTATATTAGCTGATATAATATGATTTTATTCTCCATCACTATGTGCTTCGGCAGCTTGTCTTTCGTCGATAGAAACTTCCAAATGCCGATTCTCAAGATCCATTGATACATCTTTTTCGGTATATACACCTGTATCTAAAAAATAAAAACGTAATGTATTGTTTATCCAACAACATTAATAAACGTACCTACATGAAAACAAATTCATACATAAATGTTCTTGTTACTTGTATATACAAACATGTAGGACATGACTTCATATACTTCGATAACAATAAAAACTTTTTCTTTATTATAATTATTTCATAGAAATCATATTTTAAAGAAGCATGCAACTTATTATAATTATTTGTGCAATAATGATAATTTAATGACTATATCATAGTTTAAGCGGATATGTCTGATTTGTCTGCTTTTACACTGCGATCGGTTAGAAAAACAATAAAAATACTGGAGTTTGCAATATCCACCAATAACTTTGATCTACTGTTATTCATGTTTTACAATATTATGCAGGAAATATTATGAATACTTTTAACTAAAAACACACCACTAAATCATAACTGTATTAAAACAATCATTTCACCACGCAAACAAGCATCGACACGTCTTCTCCAAGTGAATGAAGTTAAGTCAGACAAGACCGCGCACGCACCGTGTGGCGTGCATTTTAAAACGCCGTACGAAATGATAGTAGAGATCCGCATCTACGACATTTAATCGTAGTAATTATCATACTTGTTCTCTTATACAATTTGTAAATGAAGATAAATACGTAATATTTAGAAAAAAATCTTATATAGGTATGTGCATAAGGAAAATTTAAAGCCAATTATGCAATAAAAAAAATGCCATTTTTGTCATGACTTTATGTACGTAGGGACCGTCGGTATAGTAGCAGTATTATAATACTGCTTTTCATTGGTGATCAATGAGATCAGTCTCTTCTCTTTCCTCTTAAGGTCGAATTGGAATCGCAGGCAGTCGATGAAGGCTGATGACTTAAAACTATGTTTTGAGGTATTGTATAAGGCTTATATTAGGCAGTATACCTCAGATTTCCAATAATGAAATAACTGATGACTGCTATATATCGTTAAACATCATGTTTACGTTTTTCAGTGAAAATTTATTGATAGGTTTTTCTGCCAGTATAAACTTCTTCGATATTGGATTCGGCTTAAGCTTTGTTCTACATAACATCTACTTAACGTCGTTGTCGAATGCATCAATTAAGCTTTATTGGAGCTTACAATGGACTTTTGTTGGCAGAAATGTATTATAGATACAGTCATTAGCAAATAAATTACGACACGATGCAGCCAAGAGCCGTGTTAGCTCAGCGCTCGCTGTAAATTTCACAGTTCAAACCCCGTTGACGCCAATGAAATTGTAAATTGTAATTTTAAGTGCTGATTTACCAGTGCTCGGCGGTGAAGGAAAACATAGTGAGGAAACCTGCATGTCTAAGAAATAAGAAAAAAAGTATGTCGAAGACCTGTAAGTACGACAAAACGCATTGGGACAGCGCGACAGAAATTTGCTCGCCCTAATACCCTCTCAGAAGTGAAAGGCCTATGCCCACCAGTGACATATATAGGCTGTAACTTTAACTTTTTAACAATGAAAGAAAATTACGCTTAATTCGTATACATAACATCTATAATATGTCTTTTACTAATATAAATGCTAACTCGATCCATAGCTCGTGTAACGATTACACATTTCATATAAATTCCTGTTCACTTCCTGCTATTTTTAATAATAATTTATGCAGCTCACTGACTTAGAACCTTTAATTATATTATGGGCTATCTATACTTGAACAATATTATATATATAATATTGTTCAAGTATAGATAATAAAAAACATTATATTTTTATAGTTTCAATATAGTTCTATTTCAAAAGTTAAAATGTTTCAGCGAAATGTTAAGATTCTTACGTGGTAGAGCCAGGAGATTGTTTACTTGGTAGAGCCATGTTGCAGCTATATTGTGGTTGCAGTACGAATGGGTCGGCTCGAACGGGGTAGGACCACGTTCTGACAGAATACCGATGTAAAATAGCAGCTTAATGCTTCGTATGGTGAGTGTAGAGAACCGGATACCCTTTTTACTGGAAACGAGGCATTCCATCTTAGTCCTCAGGGGTGACAACGCATCTGCATTTTGATTATTAATTGTAAATAAATGTAGATGTCCATGGGACACAGCATCCAATTACCATCAAGTTAACTTGTGTGCTCGTGTCACCATTATTCTATAAAATAAATAACCTTGCTCTATGTCAATATCTTAACAGTTTTATCAAAACTTTATCTCCTTAAGAAACTGAAGTGATTTTTATATCAAGTATAACGTCGAGTGTATCGGAAACTCGTGCCCTCACTCCACCCTTTCGATGAGAGATAAAAAAATCGGCCAAGTGCTTCCGACACGATTAACTCAGGGTTCCTTACATAATAAGGGGTTTATTTTTTTATTCCATACTAGTGACCAGATCAGACTTCGCCTAAGTAGGATGTATTAGTATGATGTTACTTAAATTTAAGATAACCATCAAATACCATTTATTTTATTTATTTTACGGTTTCTCAAAAATAGTTTTAGTGACTGATAAAGAACATGAAGATGCCGTCTACATTAGGTTGTGTCAAATAATGGATTACAGTCTAATTAATATTTTCTTCTAGTTCATAACTTTCTAACTTGCTCAACCGAATAGAACTTGTATCTAAAGATCACTGCAAATCCTTTCCTAGAGGTCTACGACCAGGAGTGGACTGTCATTATGATGGCGACGTAAAATATGGTTTACCAAACATATTTCTGTAATCAGGATACAATAGCCCAACTTCTAAGAATCATTATTTACTGAAAATCGATTATAATATTAACATGGTAGAGTCGCAAATACACAGCAGCAATATATTTTGCCATATTAGTGCACAAAACTAGCACGAAGGGGTGGGCTCAACCAGGAAAGCACACTTTCATCGCTACTGTTTTCTGCTGAATGTATAGAACCGAAGATCCTTTTAACTTGAAACGAGGCATTCCATCTTAGTCCTCATCTACGTTTTGATTCTTAATCGATGATAGATGTAGATGTCTATGGGCCACAGCAACCTCTTACCATCAGGTGGATTGTGCTCGTTAGTCACCCATTTTCTATAAAAAAATGCATGATTAAAAAATAGATCTAATTATGAAATTAATGGAATACTTAAAAATACAATATTCATGGCTGTGATGTGAAAAACTAACAGTGCGTAGGACCACACATAAGGTTTCACAAGCTCACGGAAACCTAAACTAATGTATCTATAGTTTGGCCTTTGAAATTCAATTCACATTATCTTATTATAAAACGGCATGCGGATAGTTCACTCAAAACGGTTAATTATTTTTTACTGCACCGTTAATACGTGATTTTTTTTTTATAGAATAGGC